AGCGGTATATAAATTTAATAAATAAATAAATAAATCTGAAGCCCAGCATTAGGCCCTTCTCCAGTGAGTCCTTCCTTCTCATTAGGTGGCCAAAGGACTTGAGTTTCAACTTCAGGATCTGGCCTTCTAAAGAGCAGTCGGGGTTGATCTCCTCTAGGACTGACCGGTTTGATCGCCTTGCAGTCCAGGGGACTTGCAGGAGTCTTCTCCAGCACCAGAGTTCAAAGACCTCAATTCTTTGGCGCTCAGCCTTTCTTATGGTCCAACTTTCACAGCCATACATTGCAACTGGGAAAACCATGGCCTTGATCATAAATTAGAGGTATAGGTGATAGCTAATTATGAGGATGATACATCTCAGAGACTAAATATTCATCCAAGAAAAGGTCATCTGCCTATGCTGTACACTGTACCCTTTGGACACTTTCTTAAATCTCCAGTCACTTCATGGATCACGTTCAGAGCTAATTGTATTGCGCTCTGCCTCATTTTGCTATTCGTTTTTACGTGTGCCTATTTCATCCCTCGCTACTGCTGGTTTTGATCTTGACAGATCCTGACCTCGTGGGTTTCACTTGGAGAGAAATCTGTGACAGATTTGGACAGACATAACAAGAGCTGTTTTGCTACACCTTTTCTGCTCATTCTTAACTTCCCGGCAGGCACGTGATAGTTAGAGCCAATTTTTTTCCAGCCTCTCGTAGAGTTCAGCTGAACGATGAACTCCTTCACTGTGTGAAACAGGGAAAGCATAACAGGTCTGCGGTTGCTAAGATGAGTAGGAGAAAAAAAAACTGGCAGAAAACGATTTTTTTCTGCAAAAGATAGAAGAAAAGGAACTGAAATGGGGTTACCTAATTGTGGCTAGAGAGAGAAGAAGAACTGGGGAGATGCAAGGAGATTTGGACGGGTTCAGAGAGCTGACCTAGAAAATAATGAGAGAAGGAAAAGGGAATCCACTTGGAGGCAAAGAGGTCTATAGAGGAAGAAAAGAAGGAAGTGTTTAAGGCAGACGATGGAATAAGGAGAATGTACAGTAGGGAATGAAGAACAGGAAGAAAAAAATACATTTAAATACACCTGTCATGGTTCAAAGGTGGACCAGGGTATCTTCTGCTCTAGTCACTCTAGAATAAAATAGAGCTGGAAGGGACCTTGGAGGTCTTCTAGTCCAGCCCCCTGCTCAAGTAGGAGGACCTATACCATCTCACACAAGTGACTGTCTAACCTCTTCTTAAAAATCTCTAGTGTTGGAGCACCCACGATTTCTGAAGGCAAGCTGTTCCACTGGTTGATTGTCCTCACTGTCAGGAAGTTTCTCCTTAATTCCAGGTTGCTTCTCTCTTTGACCAGTTTCCAACCATTGTTTCTTGTCCTTCCCTCTGGTGCTCTGCCTTGTGGCAGCCCCTCAGATATGGGAACACTGCTATCATGTCTCCCCTATTTCTTCTTTTCTTTAGACTAGCTAAACCCAAGTCCCGTAGCTGTTCTTCGTATGTTTTAGTCTCCAGGCCTTTGATCATCTTAGTTGCTCTTCTCTGAAATTTTTCTAAACTCAACATCTTTTTTGTGATATGGTGACCAAAATTGGCTGCAGTATTCCAGGTGTGGCCTCACTAGGGTTTTATAAAGCGGTACTATTTCACGTGATCTTGATCCTATGCCTCTGTTTATACAACCCAGGATTGTATTAGCTTTTTTGGCAGCTGCTGCACACTGCTGGCTCATGGTCAAGTGATCGTCCACTATCACTTCAAGGTTCCTCTCACAGTTACTGTTTTTAAGCCAGGTCTCGCCCAATCTGTATTTTCGCCTTTGGTTTTTCCTGCCTAAATGTAAGACTTTGCTTTCCTCCACATTGAAACTCATTTTGTTGGATTGTTCAAGTTGGTCAAGATCTTTTGGAATCCCGAGCTTGTCTTCTGGGCTGTTGGCTACTCCTGCCAGTTTGGTGTCATCTGCAAATTTGATGAGTTCCCCTTCAGTTCCCTCATCTCAGTGATTTATGAACTTTGTGATTTGCCCCAGTTCAGAGATAATTGTTTGTCTTTCTATTGAATAATTGCACTACTTGGCAAGTGTTTGTTTGTCAAATAAATTTCAAAAATTAGTTGGGTCAGAAGTTGTGGCGTCTTCTTTTGCAGAACCAAAGGTACAGGTGGCCTTGCAGCAGCACGGAGCCCAGAGGGTGCCCAACGCGGAGCAGAACGGCGTAAAAGCATACAGCCATCCAAGGCACGTTCCTCGAAGTGAACCCCGACTGCCGAGGAACGAGAAGCCACCTCGCTTTCAAAGAGATAATCAGAACCCAAGACACAACGTGGACGGAAGTGGCTTTTCGAGGGCCCGGCCTTCGGAAAGGCCGAACTCCCAGGGCCCCGATCAGTGGACGGAGGAGAAAAACAAGTGCGACAGACTTTATCCTCGGAAAGATTTTGGGTACCCCACCGCTGGCCATTCGGGGGACCTTCATTTCAAGAGGAGGGAGACCCCCGTGCAAAACCGGCCGGGGAAAATTGGTTCGCTCCTTGAAATGAAAGAGAACTCCGTCGGCCAAGATCCAACCGACAACAACCATCAGAAACAAAGAAGTCAGCTACATCCCCCCAACCATTTCTGCGATAGGAAGACGTTGATCCTCGCGAGCGATTCGTTTACCGGCTTAAAAAACGAGCCGCCGTTCGGTCTGGCCGTAGACTACCCGAACCCAGTTCGAACTGATCCCTTTTGTTCCGTACCCAATGGCGATTTGGAACATTTCCCCAAAGGGAGGCGGGTCGGACCCATTAAAATGCCTCCTCCCCATATGGCCGTGCCCTTCGATGTCAAAATGTACTATGACCCCGGTCCCAAAAAACGATCCGGGCCCATCAAGCCGGAAAAAACGTCGGAGCCCCCTGTTTCGGGAGAATACGGGAAAAGCTGGCAAGTGGGAGACGAGTGTTTTGCTCTTTATTGGGAAGACAATAAGGTATGTTTTTGTTCCCAGCCAAAGCTAACATCGTTGTATTCGAAGTGGCTGTCATTTTTTTGGGTAAGGTTATCCAGTTGTGTTGGGGGAAAAAGGGACACTAGCTTTGTAGCAAAATGTGCCTTATCCTCCATTGTCCTATAACAACAAACCAGCACTTTGAATCCAGGGTATGTATAAGTGTTCTTCTGAGTTCATCTAGTTCAGTGGTGGCGAACCTATGGCACGCGTGCCAGAGGCGGCACTCGGAGCCCTCTCTGTGGGCACATAGAGTGCCGTTGCCCCAGTCTTGCCTCCCCCCACGACCCCCTCCTCACCAGCAGCCCCCCCTGGAGGAGAGTTGTCCCTGAGCGTGGCCCACATGGAGCAGCACAGCCAAGGACATGGCAGCCAGGCAGTGTAGACAAGACTCTGCCCTCACGCCCCATCGCGCGCAGTTGATGCTGTGGGGTGCGGGCAGAGGGTGTGGCCGCCATGGCGCTGCTGGGCTGCCTGGGCGATCTACGGCGGGCCCTGGAGGCGGTGAGTGGCCCTGCAGACAGGGTGGGGTGGGGCAGGGTGGAGTGGGGGCGGGGCCAGTTTTTGGGCACTCGGTTTCCAAAAGGTTCACCATCACTGATCTAGTTCATATTTGTAGCTGCAGACAATCTTTCTTAAAAGCCGTTGAGTTCCGGGGATACTAAATTGATTGGTGATAGCCCCGCGAAAGATGGTGAGCCTCTAAAAGGGGATTCCCTTCTCAAGGCTTTCTAGTCCCCAGTGTTCTTAAGAGATTGATATAAAACCTTGGGATTTTTTAGTCAAATTTGTTTTTTAAACAAGCAGTGATGGCTGGAACGGATTCCAGTACCTCTAAGAAAGTGATTCAGTACTAAAACAGATCAGAAAAAGGGATTCTTCTAGGTGTCGATGGCAGCTGTAATTATTCCTCTTTGTTCTGTCATGCTGGACCAAAATAATAATAATAATAATAATAATAACAACAACAACAATAATTTGGCATTGACAAATTCGCCATTAGTCAATTGCAAAAGGCGGCCTTACTAGGAACTGCTTCCATCCTGCGACGATATCTGTAATACCGTCAAACATCCACATCTGCCTATCCCAGGTCCTTGGTAAGGACTCGATAGGTAGACAAAAATGGCAAATCCAATCTGAACATCTGGCTGACTGTGCGATGATCCATACTACTACTGCTACTACTACTACTACTACTAATAATAATAATAATAATAATAATTATTATTATTATTATTATTATTATTATTATTGACAAAGGATAGGTTGAGCTTAAAAAACAAGGCAAAGGATCATTGTGCTGAAGTATATACAACAAAGCTATATAAGAAAGCTGCAGAACAAAGGGCAACAAAGATGATTAGGGAACTGGAGATTAAAATATAGGAAGAATAGTTGCAGGAATTGGTTATACTAATCTAATGAAAAGAAGGACGGGGTGATATGATAGCAGTGTTCCAATATTTCAAGGGTTGCCAGAAAGAAGAGGGGTGTGTGTGTCAGCTTATTCTCCAAGGCGCCTGAAGGCAGGACAAGAAGCAACGGATGGAAACTAATCAAGGAGCAAACCAACCTAGAACCAAGGAGAAACGTCCTGACAGTGAGAACAATTAATCAGTGGATGTCTTGCATCCAAAAGTTGTGGGATGCTCCAACACTGTAGGTTTTTAAGAAGAGATTGGACAGTCATTTGTCTGAAATGATATAGGGTCTCCTGCTTGGGCAGGGGGGTTGGACTAGAAGACCTCTAAGGTCCCTTCCAACTCTGTTATTCTGTTATATCAGGAATTATGTCCATTTTCAGTAATCAGTTTTAAAGAGGCCAGCCAATACATAGTACATGGTTACAAAGAGTTTTGTGTTGTTTACAGAAAGAAAATTGTCCCCTTATCTTATGCTTCATTATTGAACTTGGCTAGACTCCTTTATTAAGCCAAACTCGTTGGTTTCTATATGGACTACAATTAGATATATTTTATTCCTTCCTGAATCAAACAAGTCATTTCAGTACGATACTGCATAGGGAAAGGTCTCACAATTTCTCTGTTTAGTTTTTTGCATTCTTAGAAATACTTCTTCTTTCTCCTCCTCCTCTCCTCCTCCTCCTCCTCCTCCTCCTCCTCCTCCTCCTCCTCCTCCTCCTTCCTCTTCCTCTTCCTCTTATCATCATCATCATCATCATCATCATCATCATCATCATCAGAATAGTGGGATACCTTCAGGGTTTCCCCCCGATGCAAGTAGTTTAGTGACTGTTAAAAGTTACAAAGGCACTGAAAAAAGTGACTTGTCACCTTTTTGTACACTCAGTAACTATTGCAGCATCCCAGGATCACCTGATCAAATTTCAGAGGCTTGGCAACTGGCATGTACTTACAATGGTTGCAGTCATCCCGGGGTCATGTGATGAGTCTTTGCGACCTTCTGACAAGCAAAGTCAATGGGGAAGCTGGCTTCACTTAACAACTGTGTTTCTAATTTAAACAACTACACAATTCACTTAACAAGTGGGGCAAGAAAAGTCGTAAAATGGGGCAAAATTCACTTGACCAACAACAAAAATATTAGGGTTCATTGTGGTCGTAAGTCAAGGACTCCCTGTATCACTGCAGATTTTTTTCCCCCTTAAAAAAATTGTAAGTTGTGCATAGATTGGTTATTTTCGTAGTTGAGATACGCAATTGCTTGTTTTGTAAAATGTCATTTTTTAAAATAATAATAATAATAATATTTTTCCCCCTCCAGTTTTACCGGGCAGAAATTGAAGCTCTCCATTCTTCTGGGACAACTGCTGTTGTTAAGTTTTGTGATTATGGAAACTATGAAGAGGTGTTATTATGCAACATCAGGCCTGTTCAAGCTGACACCTGGGTACGTGACAATACATTGTATACAAAGAGATAAAGTACGTATTTCTTGTGAACATGGAAGCCATAATCAGATGACCGGTATCGTGCAGAGGGTTTGCAAATCAAAACCTGAAGAAAAGAATTGTAAAACTGGTTAAGGTGTTTGTTTGTTTTTTCTTTTTCTTTTTTCTTTTTCTTAAACTGCATCTCCATCTATAAACTATGCCTTAAGAAGCTTGTAGCCTTAACTTCACCTAATAACGTTTGTAAATTGAGCAATATATTCTTGGCTTTTCAAGCAAATAATTACTTACCTGAAGGAGGAGAACGGTTTTTCAAATGCATTCTGCCAGGCTATAGATCCTAATTGATGGTTTTTTCCCTGTGGTTTGCTCTAGTTTAGAAATCAGATGAATCCACAAAATTTAAACTCCAGAGGGGTTGTCTTCCCCCTCCCCTTAAATGTTCCCGTTCACTATATGTATGCCTGAACGTATCCTTGTTTCTATAATTGCATTGTGTTCTTTTGACAGACATTAAATATATTTGAAGGACAGGCTTTTGTTAAAACATCCAACATCTTTCTTACACAATGAGTTTATAGAGGAGTGCCAAATGATGGAGTTAGAAATAGGGGGTTATTTTTCTGAAGGGTGGTTAAAAAAACAACAACAACAAACAACGGGAAGAAGGTCGTTACAGAAAATCTTTCTCATTCGCTAGATTTTTTTGTTTTGTTTTGTTGTTTTGTTTTCCTCCGGCTTTCTTTCTTGTGTGGCAAGAACAAGAAATTATTCTTCTCCAAATGCATTTGGGCGAGTGTAGCCATTTTTGTTTGGCTCATTTTCTGAGACGCCTTCCACCTAACGAATTGCCATCGTTATTCCATTTCATGTTAATGATACGTAGAAGAGGGAGCATTTCTATGTAAAGTTTGAAAATGCTGTTTTGTATCCTGCATTTTTGACTCTTGAAATGTTCCCTTGTGTGTTTACTTCAGAGACCCAAGTTTTATTCTTAATATAGCTTTAAACATACCTTGGCATTTATTCGAGATTCTGCATCTCTTAGTGCAAATTTTCATGGAATGAGGAGAGAAAGACTGTAATTTGAGATTAAGGCAGGGCAAGGATGGATACTAAACATGTAGTAGGTTTCTTGAAGAAAAAGAAACAAGTCTAGTTAACATTGGAAGGCATCAGTTCATTTATAGAGACTTCAGGGTTATCTGTTGAAAGCTTTATAATCATCATCACGGCAATTTTCTTCAGCACGTGACAGTAAATTATACCTAATACAAGTAGACAGGTACATGCAGCCAGACTTGAAATAAACAGAGACTGGATTTCATGGGTTTGGGTAGGACAATGAGGTTTTAGTTCCTGTATATCTCCAGAAGGCTCCTCCTATTGTGGTCTGTCCAATTAAATATTTTTATTTTCCTGAAGTTGGAAGTTCTGATTTCTTTTGCTTCTCTTTCAATTCAGTCGTTTTCGTTTTGTTAGTAAACCAGCAAAATAAATAAATAAGGTTTCTGGAATGATCATTTAACACAGTCTTCTCCATGACTTCCTGCGTCATGGCGGATAAATAGCATTCATTTCATAGATAGCAAAGTACATGGTGCAGAAGACAGGAATGAATTAAGCAAGCAAGTACATTTTAGTTTTATTAAACATAAATGAACGGCTACACGAATTCTGTATTTTTGTTTTTTTTCCATAAAGCAATAAATATGGAGTGTTGAATTAGCTTTTCCTATGTAGACATAACGGAGTTTTCATTAGACAATGTGGGCGAGAAAGAAGCTTTGGTTTCCATTTGTTGAAGGACTGTTTAACCTTTTACACTTGACTAGAGAATGTACCCATATATATATATGTAATCCCCTGTTATGCTAAATGTGGCAGTGATCACAGAATAAAGTTCTATGTTTGCAACATATCAGCCCAGGCTTAAATGCCAACACCGTAATAAACTTTTTTTTCCCCTCTCGCAATATTTAAAACAAATATCAAAAGCATGCATTGTTCAGACGAAATTAAGTCTGTGCTGTAGAAATCTAAAATAAACACAATAATAACTTAAACCTAAAGTGTTATATGTTATTTTCTCAGATTTAGAGGTGTCACCAAGGAGTACGTATTTATCAGGAGCTCATTTTATTCTCAGTCTACATTTTCCTTCTTCCTTGCAGATATCTTTGTATTTTCCAGTAGTTTGACTTTTATTTGATAAAAGGTAGAACTTTAGCACCTGGTTTCCGTAGACTATTGTGGCTTCACCTGTTCCTGAAAGATACAGAGATAATCTGGAGAGAAACCGTTTTGAAAACAGATGCCATGTTCAAATTGGCTAGTGATTTTAGCTTCCTTTCATAGAACACTTGTCAAATGGATAATCTTCGTAAGGGTCTTCTTTCTACAGGTAGATCTCAACATCCAACAGTTAGTTTAATGGCCGTTCAAAGTTACAACAGTACGGAGGAAAGTGACTTATGACCGTTTTTCACACTTAAAGACCCCATAGTCATATGATCAAAATTAAGACGGATGGCAACTGGCATGTACTTAAGATGGTTGCAGCGTCCTGGGATCACGTGATCCCCCTTTGCGGCCTTCTGACGAGCAAAGTCAATGGGGCAAGACAGATTCACTTAACAACTGACTTAACAACTGCAGTGATTCGCTTAACAAACGGGGCAAGAAAAATCGTAAAACGGAGCAACGTTCACTTAACAAATGTCTCACTTGGCGACAGAAATCTTGGGCTCAATTCTTGTCGTAAGTCGAGGAATTTAGCTGAACGTATTCCAGAGGCATTTTCTAACTTCAGGCCTCTGGCCTCGTATCCCTCCTTCTCCCTACATTGAATTTAACCTTGAAGGAACACTTCCGGTGCGTAAAGTTGGTTACAGATTGATCTACGTGTTGAGTTTTTCCTTGTTTCATAAAATTCAACGCCAAGCATTTCTCCGGTGTGTCTCCAGGGCCGCTTCCAAAACACTTAGCTTTACAGCAGTGCGAAATTTCCAGAAAACCAGGGTGAATTAATGTCGTTCCTATAAGGAAGGTCACCCACTGCGATCCAACCCAGATGTGAGTCTGTCCGATGGTACAATATTATTCCAGAATAACTAGACCCATCTATAGTCCCGGTTGGTGGAACAGAGGGAAAGGGAGGGGCAGCGTTTTACATGGTGTGTGCGTGCGTGAATGGGGCCACGATCACGCACGTGACAAATAGGGCAGTGCTAGCGCCCAAGTGATACTCGCTAGCCCTGCCCCGTTCTTGCGCGCGCCCTGTTTTCGCACCCCGTGGCGTGGCGTTCCATTTATGCACCCCTGCAGCCACGGCACTAGCACAAGTGGGTGGGTGTGTGCTACAGCCTGGTAGTAGGTTGGGAACCCCTGATCTACATGACATGATGGGATGGGAGGTTGTTTGTGATAACCTCCTATCTTCAGTGGAAGAAAGAATAACAGAAAACAATTTATACGCAATTGTTGTATGATGATTACCAACTTTTATACTGGACTATCTATCTGACCCGGTTAACAATCTTCTGACGAAATCAACAATAAGAAACGCAACTGCTGATCATAGCCTCACTTCTCACCGTGTCTGTTCCATCACGATAACTTTATAGCTTAGAATTAACGAACAGAAAATGTCACTTCATTTAAAATTTACTTAAGTAAAATCTTGTCTTACCTTTTTCCCTTGTGATTTATGATTCACTGCTACTAGCCGTGACAGCTGTCAGATTTCATTAGAAGGAAAGAAAGTTTTGGGTGAAAACTTAAAAGACTAAAATCATTTTTGTAAAAAAAAAAAAAAAAGACCTTGGGTGAAAACTCTGCTAAATGACAGGAGCCTATGCAGAAAGTCCTCGGCTTATGACGCAATCGAGCTCAAAGTTTCCATTGTTAAGCAAGACGGTTGTTAAGTGAGGTTTGCCCCATTTTATGACCCTTCTTGCCGCAGTTGTTAAGCGAATCATGCAGTTGTTGAGTTAGTAATATGGTTGTTAAGTGAATCTGGCTTCCCCGGGACATGGCAACCGTCGTAAATATGAGTCGGTTGCCAAGCGTCCAAATTTTGATCAGCTGACCACGGAGATGCTGCAACGGGTGTAAGTTTAAAAAACTAGTTCCAAGTCACTTTTTTCAGTGCTGTTGGAATCTCAAACGGTCGCTAAGCAGATGGTTGTAAGTCAAGGACTATTTGTACAGAATAATTTTAATAGTCAGCGTGGTCTATTCACAGGCTAAATTTAAAATACAAATATGCCTAAAGGCTCTTTGGGTGCTGATTAACTGATCTGCGTCATCCCCAGACATTTTGACGGAAGTCACATCTAAAAATAAGCTGCACTATATCCTTTTACTCTAATTTGATTCCACTTGATAATAGTTTACCCCTTCCCAAACCCTGGATTTCACCTAGGGATTTTCCAAAGCAGACCTTCCATCTTCCAATTTCCCCCCCAAAAATATCTGCTTTTCACGTGAACATCACAGCACCATGATCGGACATGCTGCTTTTCTCATAAATATACCTACTAAAAATGCATCGCGGGTCCCGAATTCATTAATTTTCCTTCTTGGGAAGGACATTTGTCGAAGGGCTGAGATTCTTGGGTTTGTCGAATGCAAAGAAATAAAAAAGTTTTTAGGAGTTGTCCATTTAAAGCACGGCTCCTTCCAAACAGGTAGAATTCAATGCTGCGGAACATTCGTTCGTTATTTGGGAATTGAGAGAAATCAAGAGGCACAACATGACACCAAAAAATCTGTTTTTCCCTGTCTGGAAGTATGCCAGTTTCACACCACCGTGATGAATGGTATATTAATATAGGCTACCTAAATTGTTTTAAAGGTGGGCTGTTGTTATCCTCCTGATATTATAAGTCTCCATTTCTATATTAAAAAAAATACCCACTGTGTCTTCCTACTAACGATTATCAATGGACCGAATGTCATTTATACCAATTGCCTGCCAAAAAAAATAGAGAAAGTG